CTCAAGTAGAAAGATGTTTTGAAAAGGATGATGGCAACATATGTACAAATGTGCTTGATACAATTGATGTATGGATTGTTATAAGAGCCCCCAGTAAAATAATTTATTTTTTTTAAGTCTCCAGGACGAGGTTAATTTACTACATTGAATAGGAGAGCTACATAAAAGATAAGTAATATTTCCAGGCACCTGGTTTGGTAAATCACCTGTCCTCTGGATGATGTTGAGCCAAAGCCCCAGGCTTCTATTTTGCCCATTCTGCTAATGCCAGGACAGAAAAAATAAGAACTGATGACCTCTGGGTTTCTGACTGTTGGCACTATGCAGGTTCCAATACTTTGAACTTACTGTGTGGCTCAGTTTTGTAGTACACGCAGTCCCGATGTTATGATTTAGACCTGTTCCCTTGTCTTTAAGCCTTTACGTGGAATCTGTAAGTGAGTAGGAACAGGGACAAATGGTTCTTATTTGCCTTAATTACCTTTGTGCAAGAAGTAACCGTGGTGACCACAAGTCAGCAGTTCAAGAACACCAGACACTCTGAGGGAGAAAGATGAGGCTTTCTGCTCCCATAAAAAGTTACAGTATGACCGCAGTCCTGCCTTTCAGTTCTGGCTAGATCAGAGCATGTACACCGGTACAGATAAGAGCTCATGACACATGGAATCCAGGTCAGATAAACCCCTCAGGGACAGAAATGGGAGAAGTGATACCAGGAGTGTAGGGGGAATGTGGTAGTCACCGAATCTGGTGTCAATTTAAGGATTAAGAGTGTAGAGGTGGAGTCTAGGCTGTCAATCTGGAGATAGCCAGTGAGACTTCTGTGTGGGCATGGCCTTCTCCTGAGAATTCTGGGAATTCTGGTCCTTCCTTCTTGGAGGCAGGAGACACCTCTCACTCTCTGTGACTCCCTGGGAGACATTGCAGAAGACAAGCCACAAGGACGCAACCAGACCTCGGAAGCCGGAGAAGCCACAGAGAGACCCCTGCCAGCCTTGAGATGCTTACAATGCCACAGGACCCAAAGACTTCCTACCCACTGGCTTGTGAGGGTCCTGCATTTGACTTCACTGCATGTGTTTCGTGAGCATGAGGAGGACTTTATAGATTGATATCGGACATATGGGCAAATATAGGACTTATGACCTTGGACTGGACTGAGTTGGGATGTTTTCTCAATGTTCAATTCCTCTTGTATATAAACCTCTCCCTTATACACATATGCTTGTTTATGAATTTATTTCTCTAGTCTACCCAGACTAACACAGGGAAGGTGGGGAGAGGTGGAAGGAAGGGGGAACAGATAGCAATGATCAACACATAACCACACACACCCCACTCCAAAGGGGGACAAACAACAGAGACCATGGAAGAAGTGAGGCAGTGGATGATGTAAGATTTGAAAATAATAATAATTAATTTATCAAAGGGTTACGGCAGTGGGTGTGGGGAAGGCAGGGGGTGAAAAGGAGCTGATACCAAGGGCTCAAATCGAAAGTAAATGTTTAGAAAATGATGATGGCAACATATGTACAAATGTGTTTGATATAATCAATATATGGAATGTTATAAGAGCTATAAAAGCCCCCAATAAAATGATTTTTCTTTAAAAAAGAGAGTTACAGTGTTGGAAACCCACAAGGACAGTTCTACCTTGTCCTGTAGGATCACTATGAGACAGAATAAAATTGATGGCAGGGAGTTTGAGTTTGTGCAAGAAAAGGTTCAAAGCTTTTTCAATGATTTAAAAGCTGCACGGGAAGAAAGTGGAGGAAGATGTTTGTGATAAAGAATCAATGGCAAATAGGGGTTGGCACAGGCTTTAAAAAGTGTGGGTAAATTTTCATAACATTAACAGACAAATCAGAGCTGTAAGTCTGACATGTCTAGACTGGAATTCTGGACTTCAACTAACGGGGAAGAAGGGTTTTTCTTGACTACACTTGCCACCTTCATAGGTTTGATGTTAAACCAGTCCAGGGAAATCTCACTTTTTATTTCCTGGGGTGATCAAACTTCAGCTGCCCAGGTACTCATGACCCTGCTCTCCATTCATCCAGGACCAGATTAGGGGGAACCAGTCGCTTCTCTCTCTCAGCCCCATTCACCTGGGTCAGAACCAGGGGTACCAGTTTTTTCTCTATTTCGTACACTGGATAATCAGGTGGAACAACTCACCAGCTGCAGGAAAAATGATCTTAAACCTAGAAGAAAAAGCAATGTTTTCTTTTAAAAGGAAGGTTTCTGAGACACATTTTAGGAGCGAGTATGTATGTTCCCAGGAGCCCTGCTGGCATAGTAGTTACCAGATGGGCCAAGTGCAAGGTCAGCAGTTCGAAACCACAGACAGCTCTTCAGGAGAAAGATAGGGCTTTCTACTTCCTTAATGAGTTATGGAACGAGTTGACAGTCCACCATTTCAGAAGGTAGCATATGACCAAGAACCAATGGTGCTGGAGGAAGAAGTTCCAACTGTACTGGATGCATTAACCAAAAAGAAGGCTCCAGGAATTGATGGGATACACATTGAAATGCTTCAGAACCCTAAAGAAGCACTGGAAGCACTCTCTTGTTTATGCCAAGAATTTGGAAAGACAGCTACTTGGCCATCTGACTAGAAGAGATCCATATTTGTGCCCATTCCAAAAAAAAAGGTGACCCAACAGAATGCTCAAACTATAGAATGCTATCAATATGGCACACGAATACAATTATGCTTAAGATCATCCAACAAAGGTAGCAGCGGTAAGGAGGAGAGTAAGCAGGAATTGAAGCACTTGCTAATGGAGATCAAGGATTATAATCTCAATATAGATTATAACTCAATGTCAGGAAGACCAAAATCCTCACATCTGGATCAATAAGATCATGGTAAATGGAGAAAAGGTTGAAGTTGTCATGGATTTTGTCTTACTTGGATCTACAATCAGTGCACACGGAAGCAGCAGTCAAGAGATCAAAGATGTATTGCATTAGGTAAATCTGCTGCATAAGACCTCTGCAGAGTATTGGAGAACAAGGATGTTACTTTGAGGACTAAGGTGTGCCTCACTGGAGAAGACTATTGAAAGTACCATGGACTGCTAAATGGACAAACAGATCTGCACTTGAAGAAGTAAAGCTAGAGGGCTCATTAGCGGCAAGGATGGAAACATTCATATTACATACTTTGTACGTATTGTCAGAAGAGACCAGTTCCTGGAGAAAGACATCATGTTTGGTAAAGCAGTTGGGTAGGTGCAAAAGAGCAAGGCCCTGGATGAGATGGATTGGCACAGTGGCTGCATCAGTGGTCTCAGGGATAAGAACAATTGTTAGAATGGCATAGGACTATGCAGTGGTCCATTCTATTGTGCATAGCATCGCTATGGGTCAGAGCCAACTCCATTGCATCTAACAACTACAACAATGAGTTACAGTCCCAGAAACTCACTGGGACAGTTTGATCCTTTCCTATACTGTTGCTATGAGTCGGCATAGACTTGATAGCAGCGAATTTGGTTTGGGTTTTTGGCTGTTCATCCCCAGAGGATAGACTTACTGAGAAAATGGCATGGAGGGGCCATATCTGACCTTTCAGCTTTGCCATTGGCACGAGGCCGAGGTCAGACATGCCTCCAGCATGCATGCCCCTTTACCTATTCTGATACCAACAGTTCTTCCCCCAGCACTCTACTTCCATGCTAGATTCAATATTTCATTACAATGGCCACACAGAACTCAGACAACACTCACAATTAATGGGGTTTATTAGAGGACTTAAAAGGTTACGAGCCAGGATTGCTAAACAGTAAGGATACAGTCACTGGTCCACAGTAACATCTCTCCTCAACCAGAAGCCGAGTCTCTCTCTAGTCTTCAGCCTCTCAGCCATGTAGTCCATGCCCACTGCTTTGCCTTACAGTCCCATGCCCCTCTGTTCTGTCTCAGCATCTATTGACCTTGGCTCCTGGTACACTGGTCTTGGCCTCTGCCTCTTCAGACAGAGATCTTTAACGTATTCTGTTGGTGGCTACTGTTCTTCCAATGGCTCTCGGATTTCTCTCTCTTCTGTCGAGATAGCTCATCCTTATAGCCAAGGGAGTGGCAACTAAAACTGTCCAATCCCCTCTCTTATTGTCACACACAACAGATTTGCATAGCCCCATCCATTCATTTGGTAGGAGTTAACAGAGACATGGGTAAAACCAAATCAAACTCACTGCCAGTTCTGACATGGTGACCCAACAGGACAGGGTAGAACTGTCCTTGTGGGTTTGAGGCTGTAACTCTTTAAAGGAGTAGAAAGTTTCCTTTTTTTTTTCTATTGAGAAGAAACTGGTGGTTTTGAACTCCGGACCTTGTGGTTAGCAGCCCAACACAGTACCACTACACCACCAGAGCTCTTACACGAATAGAAGGGCCATATTAAGAAAGTTTACCACATTTACCACACATACCACACCCCAACCTGGAATCTCCAGATACTCACTCACTCTAACTCACTCACTCACTGTCTAACTCACTCACTCACTCACTCACTCACTCACTCACTATCTCACTCACTCTCACTCACTCACTATCTAACTCACTCACTCACTGTCTAACTCACTCACTCACTATCTAATTCACTCACTCACTCACTCGCTCACAAGAGAAAAAAAAAGAAGAAGAAAAAAGTAAAAAGAAAGGAATCTCCAAAGAGCATCCACCCCCCAGGCTTTCATTGGCCCCTTCATGTGGCCTCCTGAGGCGTCATCAGTGCCATGCCCAGTGGGGTGGCTTTGTTAAGTCAGCCCCAACTCTTTGGCTTCAGGTGTGGCCTTGCTCTCCAGAAGAAAACCACAGGCTGAATTGTTTACTGCTAAGGGATTCTACAATAGGCACAAGAAGGCTTCAAAAAGTTCGTGGAAAATGGAGTTAAAAGATAATAGAATTATTGCTTAAAAATTTTTAAGCCTGCTTATATAAAACACCAAAAGATCAATAGATTCAGAAACATGAAATGGACGGAAACAAAGTCTTTTTAAAATAAATTTAATTCCAGTTGACAGCCGGGTTGCAGCCCAAGAAGACAGAAGGGTGAAACCCCAAATGCACTGTTATCTATAGGGAGCTGTTTGGGGGTGGGGGGTGGGGCACGGATACAATTTTCCTTACTTCTAACGGGTGGGTTTTATTATTAGAGCAAAAGGCAAATACATTCGAGCTTATTTATGCTATAGCTAAACCATCTCGAGGATGAAAATGCTAATACAAATATAAAACCAGATTGCTCTAGATGAAGGCAGGGTTTCTTGCCCCCATCATGGAAGCACATGCCCCTTCTTGCATTGGAACAAGATCCTCTTTGCCCAAGTCCCTGAGTGAGAAAATGTGGACCCGATCCTTTGGTTGACCCAAATGGACATGTGGTCAGGTCCAGAAATAAATCTCTTGCATCCAAATGAATTCATCTCGATTGACACACATATAGCAACACTTCCTTCATCTCTTTGGTTCTTGTTATAAAAACTTGCATCTCTCTCTAGAAGCCCCATTTCCCAATACTCTCTTTCTCGGCCCCCACTGCAGCTAAGGGTGACTGCAGGCACATGGATCTGCACAAGTAAGTGTAAGGGAAATTCTACTTGTGTTCCAACCCAACATTTTCTGCCTTCAAGAAAATAGTCTGAGTAGAACCCTCCTCTTCTCCCTGCGGCATGCAATTGTATGAAGACACGCCACCTTTGAAAAGAAAGGGGAAGTCCAAGATTTAAAGTCAACATGCACTTATATCCTTCAGAACATCATTGAAAGTGTTCACACCAAACTTGAATTTGTCCCCTCGAGCCTTCGAGGTGATGCGAAATTGTAAATGTCTTCTGTTTAGACTTCCGTTGATCAGCCATAGTTTGTTACTTACAGCAGAATGCATTCTGCCTAGTTACAAAGGAAATGTATAGATTTCCATATGTGACATCGTACTTGGGAGAAAACGTCCCAAACCAGTTTACGTCACCAAGAACCAAGAGCACCTTTTGGAAGCACTGAAGGCATGAAAAGACTGTTTAGTGACGGAGCCATTCGGCTCACTAGGGAATCCACGGTACGGAATGCTGCTTGCTTTGCAGGCTGTTCATAAAAGGGTAAATTAGCAAAGGCTATACGTAAATCAAGGTACTTTTATTCGTGGACTCTTTGCTCCCAATTGACTCATTAAACAATTTTACAAAGAGTTACATGACTAGGAGACTGTCTATTTATGATGCCCTGTAGCAAAGAATATCAACTAAATGTGTTTTGCTACAAGTAGACCTTCAGGGCAAGGAGCCCTTGTGGTACAGACAGTAAGTGGTGGGCTGGCTAACTGTCAGAGGGGCCATTGGACTCATCAGCCACTCCAAGGGAAGATGGGGCAGTCTGCTTCTGTAAAGCGTTATCGCCTCAGAAACCCTCTGAAGCAGCTCTGCCGCGTTTCATAGGGTCACTGTGATCTTTGAGGGAGGAACTGGTAAATAAGTGGTTCTTTATGCTTGGGAGTGAGTTACGGGGTCATTTCTATCGCTGTCCTGAATTACGTGGAATCTACAACATTTTTTCTAACCTCTTTAAAAAATAGTCATCATTGGTCCACCTCATCTCTCATTAAAAAACACTTGCCCAAGTATTCTTCTTAATGTATTATTAAATATTCTATGACATACTGATAATTTTTATGACGCTCATCAAAATACTTAGACTTACAAGATGGATCACTCAGTGCTTTTTGAATAAGTCAAAAGACCATTTTCAAACGAGTAGGTGGACTACGACAGCAACAAACAATGACTACAACAAAAGACTTTTGGACTTGAGAGAAAAATCTCCAAAATAATTCTCCCATTGGCCCAACCTCTATTTTTCATGATCCACACCCATTTTCAAGGGATTTTGAGCCTGCATTTCTATAGTAATGAATCAGATCTTCATCAAGTTCCACACATTAAAATGAGCCTATAAGGCAGAGATTGTACAAACTGCAGAGAGAGAACTGCACTGGTTGGAAGAAATGGGAGCTAATGAGAAAGGGTGTTCCTGTGTCTTACTTGGGAGCAAGGATACTGGTAGCCAGGTGCGTAGGTGCAGAAAAATATACAACCTAACAGAGGGTATATGGAAGCTGGGGCTTCAAGATTACTGACCTTTAAATGCTTTCCTAGAACTTGTGAATCAAATTGCATATTTTCACACTCAATATCATCATCTTTTGATGCTCACATCCATCCCCAAATATGGTATCACTGCTTGCTAAGGCCCAGGTACTAGAGCAATATTGGGCCCGTGAATAAATCTTAATAAACAATAGTCTAAAACTGAATGGAATATTGAGTGAAAGAGTAATAAAAGAACAAATAAATGAATTTAGAGCCTTCCCTTTGAGGACTGCATTTCAGCCAGAAGTACTTTTGTTTTAATATACCTACTCTACACTAAGACAAAGCTTTGTTTTTGTTTGTTTGTTGGTGAGGTGGAGAGAGGAAGTGCATTTTATTTCTGAAAACAGTCCAAAGTCATTTAGCATAAGTCTTAGAAAGAACAAAATCAAGATGGGATAGGACACTTAAGAAAACACAAGGCATGACAAAATATTATAAATCTGACTTTCTTATCATTGGACCTAAAGGCAATTGCAGAAATGATTTGAGCATCCACAACAACTCTGTACCCGGCACCTCTGCTCCAGGATGATGGTGTTGAAAGGCCATGCTTGTTTGAATGTAGATCTGGCATGATAATTTTTCATTTTTCTATTTGAGCTCTTATATCAACAGACAATTTTTGCATACTGTTTTTTAAATGTGATTGGAGAGAAATGTCCGATGACCTTGTATTAATCTTAAGTCCACAAAACCTCCATTTTTTCCATTTGTAAGTTGATTTCTATAAATTCTTTCTAGTGTTAACATTCAAGAGTTCCATACATAGGCTAAATGTTCACACATCTTTAGCCAGTCTTCTTAACATTTCAGACATTTCGCATTGAGGGGAAGTATCCCATTAAAGGGCTAAGTCTTAAGATAAATCATGCTTTCAGCTGTAGACACAAGACATATCTGCTGGAGCAAGCTAAACGGGACATACACATTGCATACACACTCATACACACAACACACCCTACCTCTGTCCCATTAGCAATAAACTTTCTTTCTGTCCCCAAAGAGGGATAAGTATAGCATTCACAATGATAGTTACATTCATGTGAAATCAGTCTTATAAAGTTATAAGTCATTTTTTAAGTGACTTGTCCGTTTATCACTTCATAACTTCAAAATCCGAGGAAACGCCTTCAAATGAAAGTATGACTGCTGGCTTGAGAAGATCCTGCTTCCGATTGTGTCCAAAATACTTTATTCTGTAGATTCCTGGCTGGGCAGTGGCTGGAATATGCCAGGCTATAGTTGCATTGCTCAGACCTAGGGTTCCCTTGTGCCAATAGAAACTGTTGGGAGAAACAAACAAATACCAGTTTTACTCTTAAAAATGTGTGAATAGAAAGACATTTGGAATATAGCTATGAACAAAGTAGAACCCTATACATAAATCCCTACTTTTTAGAAAGGAACTTTAAAGGGAAACTATTTGCATAAATTATTGATTCTACCTTTCTAACTATCTTTCTAAATTCTATCTACCCCAAGAAGCTTAACTTAATAGTCAGAATTCAGGATGCTTCCTGTCTTAGAAATGCTATATTTCTGCAGTCTTAAAGACTTGAAGATAAACAAGGGAGCCATCTTGCAGGGAAGCAACCAAGCCCACATGGAAGAAGCACACCAGCCTGTATGGTCATAAGGTATTGACAAGATCAGGTATTACACATTAGAAGAAACCGCCCCCCCCAAAATAATCATTGATGTGAATGAGGGGGGCCATAGTGGAGACTCAAAGCCCATCTGTAGACAGCTGTACATCCCCTCACAGAAGAGTCACAAAGAAGGGAGGAGTCAGCCAGGGTGCAGTATAGCACCAACGAAACATACAATGCTCTCTAGTTCCTTAACTCTTCCTCTTCTCCCCCCACCCCCACCCCACTATCATGACCCCAGTCTTACTTTACAAACCTGGCTAGACCAGAACATGTACACTGGTACAGATAAGAGCTCTGGACACACAAAGTCAAGGACAGACAAACCCCTCAGGATCAGTAATGGGAGTAGCGATATCATGAGGGTAGAGGGGAAGGGTGGGGAGAAAGGGGGAAGAGATCGCAATGATCCACGTATAACCCATCCTACCCCCAGGGGGACAAACAGCAGAATCATGGATGAAGGGAGATAGCGGACAGTGTAAGATATGAAAATAATAATAATTTATCAAGGGTTCACAGGGGTGAGAGGATGGAGGAAGAAGGGAAAAAAGAGGAGCTGATACCAAGGGTTCAAGTAGAAAAAAAATTTAAATGATGATGGCAACATATGTACAAATGTGCTTGATCCAATTGCTGTATGGATTGTTATAAGAGCTGTAAGAGCCCCCAGTAAAATGATTTATATATTTTAAAAACCTGAATAGGGTTTTAATCAGGCTCTGAGACCAATAAAAATGCATTAATTAAAAAAATGCTGTAGCATTTTTAACCATTCAACCTTGCCTCAAGAGATGCTCTATATCTAGTATCATATATAAAATATTTATTATTTTATCATATATTTCTATATATTACATCTATTCATATGTTTATATCTTATTTATATATACTCAACATATAAGATAATATTAAGATGCATGTGTGTATCATAGGAAGCCTGGTGGCATAGCAATTCAAAACCACCAGCCAATCAATGAAAGAAAGACAGGACTTTCTACTCCCATAAAGAGTTAGTCTCAGAAACCTACTGGGGAAATTCTACACTATCCTATAGGTTAGCTATAAGTCAGAATTGACTAGATGGCAAATGAGTTTGGATGTATATGATAGAAAGTATCAGTTGAGGCAAGGTATGTTATAGATAGATGATCGGCGTTGATAGGTAGATAGATAGATAGATAGATAGATAGATAGATAGATAGATAGATAGATAGACCAACCACATGTGGCAGACTCTGTTTGAGGGGTACTCAGAATGCTATAGTGAACAAATTGACATAAAGGTACTGTCCAATTTAAGACAAAGTACCATCCAACAACTCCATTGTAAATTACTTCTGACATACATAGAATGTCCTTTTTTTCATTTTCATGATTATTGCTATAGCTATGCAGCAATGTTTTGAGTAGTAAATCATAACATTGAGCATCTGAAAGTGAATATCTGAGACTGATAATAACATCAACACATTACACACTACAACATTGTATGTAGCACATATTACCAATGATAGGATGTAGTGGAACACACACACGCACAGATTAATGTAAGTATAGTTCGTCATAGCTCAGATACAGGCACAGCCAGGAATACCATAGAACTTATGTTCTCATGGGGTGGGAATGAGAAAAGTCAATAAACAAGTAAAGTAATGCATAATTTGAAAGTGATAAGTGGAATAAGTGAGAATCCTGTCTGAGGTGGGAGCACCAGGAGGTTGGCTTGGGATTTAGGTCGGAGTAATATCAAAGAACCTACACAGATCTGGAGGAAGAGCAAGCCATGAAGAAGGTACAGAGAATGCACAGTGTTTGAAGTAGTAATGAACTTAATGTGCCCAGGGAATGCCCAGCCAGTGAGGACAATGGGAGAGTGGTTAGAAGGAAAGAAACAGTGGAGTCGGATACTCTTGGTCTTCGTAGATCATGGCCAAGAAACCAAATAGTTCTCTAACTACAGTGAGACAAAAGGAGCTTCTTGACTGATACCCTGGTCACAATGGGTATGCTCAGCATTTTACATTTCTCAATGGTAGTGCCAGAGAGCTCAATAAGATTTGATGCTATTGCTGCTGATAAATAAGACATATGACAACACATAACAGCCCTAAGGCTAACTGCTAGCCTAACTTTTACTTTCTGAAAATAAATACTTTATTGATTACCTGCATAACCTTGCTTTACAAGAAATATATACTGCTGTATGGTGAAGTGAAGTTATTTGGTATGACTCTTCCCTCTCTAGTCTTTGTAACGCCCATCAAATGACTTGAAGGAAGCATACAAATAGGGTGTCTGGAACTAATGTAAGGGGGTTGATTAGTTCTGCCATTTCCCTGGGTGTAAAGTGAGCCATGTGAGACAGAAGTAGGAACAGAGAGTTCCAAGACCATTAAGAAAGAAGAACGGCAAGTGGACTACGTCTGAGATGCCTGTATTGAGACATGTCCGTAGCAGCAGAGACCAGAGGCCACACAGCACCAGGACCATTGGACAGAGCAGTGGTTTCCCAACTTCCAGAATGAGTACATTTGAGTGCCTTTGTGCAAAAAAACTGGTTTGCAAAGGGGACACCCCTTTGGACATTTATCAGTACTAGCCAAATTTTGTAATACCAGCCCAAGGAGGGCAGAGGCCAAGAGGTCACATGGCTGAGGCCAAGAACCATAAGGGGATGTGCTGCAAGGTGACAAGGCATGGGTGACAAGAGGTGCTATGGACAAAAGAATATTTCTGATCCTGACTTGTAACCTATTACCTCCTAATAAGCCTACATAAACGTGAGTATTGTCTGTGAATATTGCTATTGCTTATTTAACACAGCGACTAAGTACAGTGCCATGAGGGATGGCCCATTTCAGAATAGGGTAGCGGTACGTCCGACCTCTACCTCATAGAAATCTTCCTTGGGCACATAAGGAGTTGGAATCTGCTCCCTTTTGAAATCATAAGAGGTCGAATGTGGCCCCATGCCATCATTTCATCAATTTATTATTTATTTTTTAAAAGATCACTTGTATCCAAAAGTCCTAAATACAGGGGGGTGGAGGGGTGGGGTGTGGGGAACAATGCCAGATTTATGGTTATTAAATGAGTTACAATATTATCAGTTCTCTATTTTCAGTTAAAAACATGACACAAATCAACATATAAATGAATCACTTAGTTTGAGACGATCAAAACAGACTCAAATTGTTAATAATCTTATCTACTACAATGGCCCTGTCCTGTTGCATTAAGTTTGTATACATGAAACAGAAACATTGTCGAATTTTCTTATTTCAGACACATTGCCAAATCTTCAAATATCTGTTCCTCCCAAGAATTGGGTAACCACGAGCACTGAGGTATATCTCTATGAGGAGACTCCATGAGCACATGCCCCCCTGCTTGAGTGGCTAAGGATCAAACACCCAAATCTCTTGTGTTTCAGTAACTCGCATAGATAAACATGCCATACATATTGGGTAGAGGCTATGTTGGGCTCTACAGAGGAAGGCCAAGCTCTACAGAGCCATCTCAGTCCTTTACCGCACCCCTTTCAAGCACTTTGTAGCAAGTTAAGCCAACTTTCAGGGTACTGTATTGCCTGTGCCTGTGGAAACAGCAACAACAACACACATACACCAACAGAACTATCAGGGGCCCCCAAGAATGAAGGCTCTCGCTTCACTAGCACCCAGTCCTACAGATGCACACATCATGCTGTTTAGAGAAAAACAGACTCCAGAGGACATCTAGGAACCCAATATGGCCAGAAGGCTCCGGGAGAATTGACATCTTTAATACTCTGTACTAAGTCAGTCTTCTCATTTGTCATCTTTGCATGACCAGCCAACTGTTTTCAAGGCTTGAAAGACACAATAAATATTCCATAAGTGTGCTCACCGAGTATCCCAGGAGGCGTCATTATGCACGATCTGCCATGATGTTGAAGGGTGCTCGTATTTCTCCACGGTGAGGAAGTTGTGATGGGTCTGAAACACAATTCGTATAGCTGATCAGCCACTGCACAGCCTCAAGGAGGAACCTACAAGCAATGACTTCCCCTCCTCGCTTACCAAAGGCTAACCTACCCAGAACGTGGTCGCAAATGTCCTCCTCTTTTACCCAGATTCTTAGATGTTCCTCTCACCATTCTATGCAGTGACTTCAGACGATTAACTATCCAGCCTACTAAAGAGCCATGGTTTTTTTTTTTTTAGAAATTTGAATGAAGCATGATTTTAGAGCTGATAACGAATTGTGGAAATCAAGGCAGAGAAGAGCCTAAAAATAAACTTAAGATTTAAAAAATTAAAATAAAAAAATATGTTCAACTTTTTCGTGACAGACTTATGGATTTATATTCTAAGACTTTTTTCTAATGACCTCCAGAGTTTGGGGTGGGGGGAGTAACGGGGCTATTAGATAAAGTACATGAAAGAAGAATAGAAAGGCTGTAGGAACCCCCTTTGTCCTGAGGAGATGAAGCAGTCCTGATGTTTTGTCATAATGGGTTCCCAGAAATCATAAGAGGGTTTTATTTGCCCAATGGGGGAAAAAAATGCCATGATAGAGCAGTTTGTTCCAGATCAAGATCCCAGCTTCAAATAAAGCACAGATTTATAGAAAAAATCAAATGAAAAGACACAAAACTCAACAAAGGGGGAAAAAACACACCAAAAACCCTTACTGCCATAGTAATTTCTCATTCATAGCAACCCTTTAGGACAGAGTAGAATTGCCCCTGTGGGTTTCTGAGACTGTCAATCTTTACGGAAGATGCTACTGGTGCTACTGGTTGTTTCGAACTGCTGGCCTTGAAATTGGCAGCTTAGTGCACAAACTACTACAGTACTGGAGCTCCTTAAAAAAGATGCAAAAGCTATAAAACTTCAATGTTTCTCTAGAAAAATCTAGAGATTTTACAATGTTTACTAGAAAAATCTCTGTCTAATCATCTTTATCCACTCTAGTCCTTCATTCCTATTCCTTGATAAACTTATGTTGAGTGAATGAATCATTTATTTACCATTAGTCCATGGGAGCGCTTAAAAAATCTTCTCAGATGACGTCACTGATGAATTATTCAAATTTTCCACAAGCACCGTAACTTATAAAGATATTTTCATTTCCACCTATTTGGGGCACAGGGTTATTGGGTAGACTTTAGCACAAGTAGAAGATGGAGTAGAACCAAGTGAATCGTATCCAGACTGTAGTTTGGAGAGTCGGTCTATGCATTTGAACATCCGGAACAAAGTGGTGAACTCTTTTCTCCCTACCTCCCTACCATAATCACTTCCAAATGCATAATTAGGTAGTGCAAATCACTTCATCTCTATGGACTTGGATGTACTCATCCATGTAAGAGCGATAATGAAACCTAACTCATTGGGAAGTTGATGCTGTTGAGTTGGTTTCTACTCAAAGAGACCCCACGTACCCCAGAACAAAATACCACCCAGTGCTGTGCCACCCTCATAATGGTTCTGGCTGAGCCCAGTGCTGCAGCCATTGTGTCAATCCATCTCAACCAGGGTCTTCCTCTTTTTCACGGCCCCTCTACTTTACCGAACATGATGTACTTTTCCAGGGACTCGTCCCTCTTGAAAACATGTCCCAAGTGCAGGAGATAAAGCCTTGCCGTCCTCAAGGCGATGGAACATTCTAATTTAACTTCTTCCAAGACAGATGTTTGTTCTTGTGGCAGCCCATGGTACTTTCAATATTCTTTTCAAAAACCATCATTCAAATGCATCAATTCTTCTGTGGCCTTTCACATGCATATCAGATGGTTGTAAACACTGTAGCTTAGATCAGGTGCACCTTAGTCCTCAAAGTGACCTCTTTGCTTTTAACACTTTACAGAGGTTCTGTGCAGCAGATTTGCCCGATGCAACATAGCATTTGCCTTCTTGACGGCTGTTTTCATGAGCTTTGATTATGGATCCAAACAAGATGAAATCTTTGACTACTTTAATTTTTTTCTCCAATTATCCTGATATTATCTGTTGGTCCAGTGGTCAGGATTTGGGTTTTCTTTACATTGAGTTGTAATCCATACCAAAGGCTGCAGTCCTTCATTAGTAAATGTTTCCAAATCTCTTCATTTTCAGTACCCAAGGTTGTGCCAGTGGCATATGGTGTTCCTCCCATCCTGATGCCATGGGGTCGGGGTTTTTTGAGTTGTACATAGCATCCGGATTGAACAAGTACGGTGAAAGGATATAGCCCTGAGGCACACTTGCCTGACTTAAAACTCAGTATCCTCTTACAAGGACTAAACTGGATTCACGTGATAATACATAGAAATCACTTACACTCATACCAGCAAACAGCAAGCATTCAATCAGTATTGATCATGACGATGCTGCTGCCGAGAAGGTGACTGACAACACATGGTACTGGGCAGTGTTGCATACTAAGTGGCAGAGGATGGCTATGAAGTAAATCTAAATCTGCTCAAGGTGCTGTGCTGGAAGCCTTTCTCCTTTTGGTTCTCCTCGACAATGATGATGATAGCATCTTCCCACCCAAGGGTACCAGATGAGGGCTAAAACGGCCGTTTTGATATAGCGCTTTGATATCTTCAAAAATAATATTATAAACATGTAAGTTATATTCTGGCATAATTTAACGTCCAAGAGAAATACTTTCAAGCAGGTACATTTTGACTAGGAAGTAGAACATCCCCGCCCCCCTCCCAGGGTCACATTTAACAATGTCACATTGCTAAATTTGAGATTAGCGCATTCATGACATTTTAATAAAGAACAAAATGCGAAGATCCATTTGAAAGAAAAGTTCTTTGAATTAGAAGTGACTGTGTGCCCTAGGAAGAATGACTCATGGCAAGAGTGACATCTCCAGCCACAGTAAAATAAATAAATAAGTCTGACTTTGAAATTATGTTCAAACAAGAGGACTCCAGAAAGTTCATGGGAAAATGGAATTAGAAGATCATGGATTTTGTTCACAAATTTTGGAAGCCCCTTTGTACACCACTTAGTTCTTCCTCAATATATGTACTTCTTTGATTGTTTGAAAGTTTACACACGTCCATCTGTGCAGTGCTTGTATGGTTATAAGAACACTAACATATTTACAGAAGAATAAAATTACTTTGTTTTTTTAATATGGTACATACCTACATATAAACGTTCTCATATATTGTACATAGACAATAGTAATAAAATATCTGAAATGACATGTATTAATTTAGTAGTTTATAATTATTTTCTCTTCTAATAGCGTATGCTACTGTTTTTCAAGATTGGATAAATAAATGCCCTGTGAGGCCCAGTAGTAAGCAATAGGGAAATGGCCAGGGTAGGACGATGTAAAACACAATCTCCATGCCAGCTGAGTAGTAGAAGATTCACCCAGGGGTTGCTGATCCTTCCACAAAGGCAGAGAGAGAACCGGAGAGGGCAGCCTGCAGCAGTACAGAGGACCAGGAAGGGAGGAAGAAAGAGCCGAAAGAGCACTTCATCTACTTGTTCTGGAATCACTTTATCAAATCTATTGGAATTTTACATTTGACTCCATAAATGGAATTGTCTTCAAATTAGTACCTTTTCAAAAGATAAGGCCGATCTCTATTTAGTGTTCTGTATGTCATCCTAAGTATTCTCACTGCCATCAAGTATTGATTTTAACTCGCAGCCATTCTATAAGACAGAGGAGAACTGCCCCTGGGATTTCCAAGGCTGTAAATCTTTACAAGAGCCAAAAGCTTCATCTTTCTCCCAGGATGTGGCTGGTGGTTTTGAACTGTTGTCCTTGGGATTAGGAGCCCTCACAGTAACCCATCATGCTAAATAGAGCCTATTTAATGTCCCCTGTGTGCTTTGGTCCAGAATCAACTCCACATCTAAACCACTAGAACTTTTTCACATCTACCAAACAAGAGTCAAAGAGATGTGTCACATTTTACCTTTATGTTGCTAACCTCTAGAACCCTGATTCTCAACGTTCCTAATGCCATGGCCCTTTCATACAGTTCCTCAGGTTGTGGTGACCCCCAACCATAAAATTATTTTCGTTGCTACTTCATAACTGTAATGTTGCTACTGTTATGAATCGTCATGTAAATATCTGATATGCAGGATGTATTTTCATTGTTACAAATAGAATATAATTAAAGCATAGTGATTCATCACAAAAACAATATGCTATTATATATTGTGAAATAGTCATTTCTAATGACAAATAAATGAAATAACTTTTTCTTGAAGCATGGTGTAGCAGGGGTACCAGTCTTCACGCCGGATGCTCGTATGTGGGCGTATCTGCATGTGGGCGGACCCACCTGGAGACGGATAGAGGAGCGGTGTCTCTGTTCCTAAGACCATTGGAAATATATGTTTTTCCATGGTCTTAGGTGACCCCTGTGAGAGGGTCCTTCGACCCGCAAAGGAGTCGCAACTGACAGGTTGAGAATGCTGGTCTAGAAGGATAGTGAAATAAATAAATGGCTAAAACCTGGATTTACATTTTTTAAAAAAAATCACTGATCTTACCTGATTTTGTGCTGAATTCTTTGGATTTGCACCTACAAATGTAACTTCAGCAACTTCTCCCTGGGCAGGGGAGAAAAAGTAGGTTATGAGTTATAATAAAAGGAATTTTTTACTATGTTCATATTTCTGGCATAATTATTTATATGTTCTAGGTGGTTAAAAAAGCTGATGGTGCCTGGCTATCAAAAGATATAGTGCCTGGGGTCTTAAAGGCTTGAAGACAAACAACTGGCCATCTAGCTGAGAAACAACAAAGTCCACCTGGAAGAAGCACAGCAGCCTGTGTGATCATGAGGTGTCAAAGGGATCAGGTACCAGGCATCAAAGAACGAAAGAATCATATCATTGTGAAAGAGGGGGAGTGTGGAGTGGAGACCCAAACCCCATCTATAGGCAATTGGACATCCCTTTTCAGAAGGGTCACAAGGAAGAGACGAGCCATTCAGGGTGCTGTATAGCACCGATGAAACATACAACTTTCCTC